CTGTTCTTTAATCTTATTAGTATGGGCCTCCTTCAGAATAGGCTCTTCCTTGGTTTAAATTTAAGGACATAGATTATAAAATAATGCTTAAAACTTCTTATCTACTTCAACCTGTTGATAGATATATCAAATACTTAGGAAGCTCTTGAATTTAAAATAAGAAGTCATAATATTTTAAAATGCTATCCAAATTGGTAGGAACCTATTTCATCGCCCTTTTTTATAGAAAAGAGAAATTTATGCTTAAAATGATATTATTCTTTTCTTGCTGTATTTTCCAAAATTAAGCAAAGAAAAAAAGTGGTTCAGTGCTTTGTGTTCACAAGTGAATGGTCAAGTAGATGAGACTGAATCTTAAACTAACAGAGTAAACGTTGTTATCAGTGTTGGAAATGTCCATCCTGTAGGCAGTCTAACTTAGATGGTTATCACTTAACACCTTATTTTCTCAGACTGCATCGATTCTGGCTTTAGAATTGAGCAAGGAAGAGCAATGACCATCATTCTGGTTTCATCTCCATGAACTGTATAGTCGGCTGCTCTACCACTTGCGTAGTTGTCTCTTGCAAGACAGGAATACTCTCTGATTCCACTTCTCTTTTATAAATTGTGTGCCTGCCTCCAGATTTTTAGTTCTGTCATGGGTAGCTCTAAATTTTTGACTGCTTATGTCTGTCGGAGACCAGTCTTTTGTAATGGTAAAAAAGGGAATTATGGTATGGGTATTGTTTTTCATTTATTGATACAAATTCAAGGTCAATTTTATGATGTGTATATTTCTCCTTTTGATTAAGTATTGTGCTTATACTGATCTTTTAAAACATAATGCATAATTAAATACAAACTATAGATATTTACTTATAATAGTCAAAACTTATAGTTAGGTAAGTTAGGTTTTCTAGATATACAGAAATATATTTGAGATAGATAAACAGTCTTCAAACCTCTCAAAGACCTTCAGAAAATGGCATTTAAAATGGTTTAAGGTTTTTCTTGACAATGAGAAATGTCTGCTCCTGGCAGCACCAATTATGTCTGAGAGGAAGATGGGCATCGAAGAAACTCGTTATGGAGTTTGCTTTCAACATGGCAAGATTAGCCATTTGGGCAAGAAACTGCTCTTGCCTAGACTGACTGTTGTTGTATAAACTGGACATGCAGGACCCACAGAAAAGTGACTGCTGAAATCAGTCTTACAGGGTTCCTGCTTCATGGAAGAGTCTAAGAGACTTTCTACAGGACAAAGAAAAATGACTGACAGACTGCCAATGCAGATGGACAGTTTGAAATTTCCTGCTTTGCCGAGAAATCTTCTGGACACATTGTGGCCTATGGGCTGAAGATGGATGCCCCAACGTTACAGAGGAACTTTGGGTAACTGTCCAGGTAGCAAGATGTCTCTGTCAATCCTAGTGTTTATATATTATCCTTCTGTGGTCTTTGATGGAGTTGAAGATAGATAGTTATAATTATAGTTTTCCTTAGTTATGATAAAAGATAAGCTACATATAGAACTTTGGCCTCACAAGGATGGGATGGATGATATTTTCTTTAAATCTTGCTGAAATATTGTAACTATGTTCTTATTTGATAACTGTTCTGTTATACACAATTTGACTGTGTTAAAGTTAAGACCTTTCTTTTTGTTTAAACAGAAAAGAGGAGATGTTGGGGGAAGTCCTGTGCATTTGTCAATAAAGTACTGTTGAGCCAATAGGAAACCTAGATAGGAGGGACTAGGAGTCCAGGAGGATTCTGGGAAGGAGAAACACAAGAGAGTCAACATGTAACCGCCATGGGGTAGGAAGCCCGGAACTATTCTCCGGTAAGAGACATACTTAGATTAACAATTATGGGGTAATTACTTAAAGCAGAGCTAGGCAGTAAGAGACAAGCAAGACCAACAGCTTCATAATTAACATAGCCTCCTGTGTGTTTATTTGGGACTGATGTGACACTAGAACCAGACTGGTGGGAAGGCTTCTCTCAAAGAAAAAGCTTCTCATTACAAACCTTGTTATCTTTGGGCCTTGTTAACCTAATTGGTTTGCCAGATTTGGTCTTTTGCCTGACCTTCAAACTTGCATCCTGGCTCTCAGGTTGAATTTCTTACTATTCAACCGAAGTTAAATGTGCAGCAATATCAGACTTAATCAGAAAATACATATTAACATCTTAGTCCAGCCTCCAAGTCTGTCTTTTGTACAGACTGTCAAATGTCCCTGTTCTCTTAGACTGTCTGTTTCTCTATACCTCTCCTTGCATGTCTTTTCCCCTTGACTCACAGACATTCATATGTATGACTACTCTCCCCACTACAGGATGCGAATTACATGTAAACTAGGACCATCTTAATGACTGCCATATCTTCCATGCTGTCTTGTACATCTTAAATTTACAGTAAGTGAATGAGGGAGTAAAGATAGTTTATTCCCCATTTTTCTAAAATAAAGTCTTACTATTTACAGTTTGACACCTGTTAGTGAATTGGGACTATCCTGGATGCCAGTTTGACTGGTTTATTGAGAACATCTTTCAAGAAGGTATTTCTTCTAGGTGTTACAAGTTAGCTACAGACAATAGCAGTCTGTTGATATGCCCTGAGAAATTAGTTTTTATTTGTGTAATTTGAAAGCACATTAAGAAATATTATTTGAAATAAGTTAAAATTATCTGACTTATAATTTTCAAAATATATTCCTTAAATATTTTTTAAAGAAATTGAGGGAATACAAGTTAGAGAAGATTTAAAATAACCAAATGAAGTCAGCTGTTCCAATGACCTTATCTTGAGGTATTTAGTCAAATTCTAAGCAAAAATCAAAGTTTCTTGATGCTTAAATAACATGCCATAGCAAATAACAGCTATAAAATCGCTTCCCAATCATTATGTTCAATGTTCACTTTGTAGAAACTTCTGAATTTAAGCACTATATTTACTTAAGGAAGCTGTTGTGTTCCCTGGATAATACAGACAACAGAGCTGGGTAATTCTAAAAGTGGGCATAGAAAAAGCTTTTCCTTGGAAATTATAGAACAGAAAACAATAAGTCTAGCTAGTATTTTGAAACTTCTGTGTGTTATTTTAGAGACCTTTTCTCTGTGACTACAAATTACAGGCATACCAAGTAGACTATAATTATTTTCATTATGAGGGACACTTTCAGTGTTAAAAAAGAAATATGCCCTTGTATGACTATTATCCTTTCTGTATCACTGATTTTGAAAACATATAGTCAAAGGTATAATCTTGAATTTTTCAATGAATTAGTGTTTTAGTAACCAAAAATAAGTCTATGTTCAGACAGTGACTAATGCATATGGATCTTGTGTCACCTAAAATAACACCTGTCCACACAGGAAATACAGCTACCATTTGGTAGTTCCTAACCCAGCTACTGATGTTGAAGACATGCTTGCCTTTTGTGGCCTTTACCCAAATTGGTAACCAATAAATTGTTGATAACTTAATTCAGTAGTTTTAAAAACACATTCTGGGACTTTACTCTTCGTATTTTGACTTTCTAAACACCAATCTGAATATTTGGCAAACTAGAATGAAGAGCAGAACTAAATTTTATTTTGGTCTTCTCTTAGTGCTTCACTTATCTACTCTGTCTGTAGAAATGTCCACCAACTATATTTCACCACAAAATTCATTAATAGGCTTAAGTCATTTCAACTGCATTGACTCTAGAATGCACTGGTACTTTCTAGCCCAGAACACATCCCTTAAACCCCACCCCCTACCCCCCACTCCGACTCACCCCCCCCCCGCCTCCTTGGAGCATACTAGCACCCTCATCATCAGCATCTATGTGAATCAGAGCAGACTGACCTGGATGGACAGGGTCCCAACTTCCAGCAAGTTTCCTGTGGTGTATCCATCTGCATCTCTGACCCAGACCAAGGCTTCAAAAGGCTGAACATTGATCACTGCTCACACACATGAATATCAGGTTCTTTTTTCTGTATGAAAAACATGTAAATGTTTGTGGTCCTGAAGATTTATGTTCCAGAAAGGAAAACCAAACTGCCTTAGTACTATCTTTATTCATCATAAGGCTAGATGAAACAAACTTTCTAAGTACCAATTAGTATTTACATGTGGATTTTAATTTCAAGTACTATTTCTAGACCTTTGAGGTTAGTTAAAAAGCCTTTAGTTATCTTCTGGTAGTACATCCATGCTGATAACTCACTATCAAATAGATGAGAGTAGTCTGAGAGGATACGGGGTTAGCATTCTGGAGAGTCTGCTTAATCTTTGGTAATGCAAGGGAAGAATTGGGTGTCAGATTATAGCAGATTCCATTATTACCACACAGATCCACCAGTGACAATGACAGTGTGTTTACCTCCTGGTGCTGTATTAATAGCATGTATTGTCTGGAGCCAGGAAATTAGGGTAAGACTACCTCGAAATCTCCCAAACATACTTTTTCCATGTCATTGTTTGCCCTTCTGCTATTCAGATTCTAAAAAAGCTCCATCAATTCAAAAATGAGGAAGGCATTTAAAAGTTCTTTCAAATGAGGATTAAACAGAAGTCTAATTATGCATGTATGTATGCATTTTATAATATATTAAATGCATGTTAGAGACATATAACTAATGAGGTAACTAGGTATCACAATGGTATATCACAATTACATATTAAGTGTATTCCTTGTGGTTTTTCTAGATAGAAATATTCCCAATGAACCCCGTTTTTCTTCAATGAGGATCAGAATGTCAGCTAGAGGATAGGTTGCTTCTAGAGCCAGGGGAGTCTTTGTCAGTAGGGATATTCAGTGTCAGGCTGCACGATCTCTCAATGGGCTAGAGGAAGTATATGACCTTGCGGTGTAGGACGTGTGGGTATATCTAGAAGCTCTTTCAAACGAGAACCTCTGCAGTGTTTGAGAAGGAATGAATACACAGCGAAATCATTCTTTGACATTGTCCAGAGTGCATTCACAAAGTCTCCTTCACTGTTGTGAATTCCTTAATGGGTGCACATTCAAAATCGCCCTAGATTCAGATGCCCCGGAATACGGAGGACACCAGAGGCTGGACCACAATACTGATTACTTTGCTGAGGCTTTTGAGCATAATGGCCGTCCCTATTCTCTCTTGGTAAGTTTTTCTTTAGATGCTTTCATTCTGTTTTTAACTTAATTCTTTGTTTTGTAGTTATGGTTTTGTTGAAAGAAACAACTCTTTAAGTAGTAACATAGGGCAGGGCCTAAAAGTTGGATAAAATGGAAAAATATGGTGAAAGACACTGGGTCTTAGGAAAAATAATACTGAAGGATATTTGGGTACAATTGGAAAGCTTGAATATTGATAGGGCTTAAAGTTATTTGTATTGGTTTGAGGGGAAAGGTTTGTCTATTTAAGTAGTAATTTAATTATTGCTTTCTCTATAGTACATTTCATTAACTGGATTTCTACATTAATGTCTGTTTAATGAAAGTTAATTTAAAACATCTTGAAGAAATAAATCATTTATATATTTTCTGTCATCTAGTAAATTGAGGACTGGATTCTTTGTAGTTACAAATTCTCTAGATTATTCATGTAACTGAGAAACAGTTTTTGTCTTAGGAGTGTTGTCACACTGCAGTGCCGAAACAGATGATAGGGTGATACCTTCAAATATGAAGTTTCAGTTCTTAGAATATGTAGAGTTTAGCAACATTTTAGACAGGAGGAGATTCTTCCTTTAATTTAAGGTCACATGGTCATGTGTTAGGCTTGGGTCATATATTAATCATAATTCTTGGCCTGGCTGGTTATGTGCCTGCCTTTTCATTTCCCCTCTCTCTGTATGTCTCTCTCAGATTGCCATTGTTCTCTTTTACTTATGAGAGATAGTCTCTTACATTCGTGACATCAAGAAATAACCTAACAAATATGTGGATATGACATAGTAAGCACATTTTTATAAATTGTTCACTTTTTTTTAAGTTCCTAAGTTGAGCATTAAAATATGGTGACCCAGGTTCCATTTTTATTCTATACCCTGTCACCAGAAGTTGAACAAGTCTTTCATTTAGTAAAGTATTATATTATGGGCAGAGGGGATCACCCAAAAATAAATGGCAAGACTGTCACAATGACATATTGATGGAAGCACAGTGACTAGACAGACTCAGCTGGTGTCCTTAAGTGCATGTGAGTTTGTCCTAACAGCTCTGATGGAGGTTTAGGTGGGCCCAGAGAGTGTCTGTGCATAGTTTAGAGCGAGGGTTCATGGGTTCTATCCACTTTTGAAGAACTGCTGCTGCATTGAGTTTGGACATGTACAATCTGACTGACAAAAATAGTTCGTTCCATAAGCGAGGGGACAATTACCTAGAAGACGTGGAGTAACCAGACAGTAAAGGAGTCCTGAGGGGATGAGCGAGATGATTCAGCTCATGGTGAGGAACCTGAGAAGCAGCAGGCTGCCACAGGAAAACTGGACTTTATCCGCTTGAATTTGACAGAAAGAGTTTGAAAGATACAGCAAAGTTCTCCTGTAGATAGATTTACCAAAGGTTCCAAAATCTCAACAGAATTTTCCTATGGAGGGGCTCTGGCACTGTAGTGAAATGATGACAAATGTCATGGAAGACACCTGGAATCCAGCGCCGTCTGGTCTGTCACTTGCTACCTTTAAGCACTCGGGTAATTTAGTTTGTTGTCTACAGCTGTTCCCTCATCTGTAAAGGAGGACATACAGGACTGCCCTCTCTATGGCAAGAGACTCCTAGGAAGCACAAACCCATCAACAGGGTCAAGCTTTTCATAAACTACAAAAGGAGCTTACCTGTGTGCTTAAGTCCCTATTGTCATGTGTTTAAACCTGTCATGGATGTCATTTTCATATATTGAACATGTCAAGACACTAAGTACCTTGAGTATGCTTGGTTACAAATTCTTTCTCCCAAAGTGGAAGGAGTTGCTTTCATTGATAAGCACTCACATTCCTTGGTGTTGATAAAAATCATTTTGGCATCCATTCAGCTTGTAAAGAGAAAAATATTCTGACCTAGTTAAAACTAGCCAACAAACCAGGGGTCTTAGGAACCAGGTAACTTTTTAAGCTCTAATTAAAGTGATCTTGCAGACATGGCACACAGCTTCTAAATTAGCAAGACGAACAGACACTGTCCCTTCACCCTTGGTCTCAGGAATACACCATACACCACAAGCATAGAAGAGAGGTCTAGGACTCCACACACTACAGCCGTGAGCCACCTCAGTCAGATGGGGATGAGGAGCCTGCCTTCCTCACAGCAGCGTCTGCCTCTCAGATGCTGGAGATACTGGAAAGTGCTCCTCTACAAGTACTCAAGCACAAATAAAGTGATCACTAGAAGGGAGCCCAAATGGACCAGGAAAACAGAGAAAACACACACACACACACACACACATAAAGCTCCTTCTTGCCAATTATTCTCTTAAGCAATCAGAATAACAGGCAGAGAACAGGAAATTGTGTGAACAAAACATCTGTCACAGGTATGCCTCATTATAGTGAAACTCCTTCTTACACGGATTTGTGAGTGCTGGAATCCCATCACGTGCTTGACAGTGACCCTAGGTGCACTGTAGCTCCTCCAGTCACCAACAGTTTGACCTCTGTGTCCTGCACTCCCTGAGTAATGAAAGGAAGAGCAGCTCTAACTTTCCGTCATTCCATGAAATTTCTGCCCATCATAACCGGTTCACAGCATTTGCTGAAGTTTAGTGTGCAAGCTCAATAATCCAAGAATCTGCTGAGTGAGTGTCAAATCTGCTTTCAAAGACAGCGGCAAACACAGCTCAGAGGAATCTTAAACTACACCTGCATCCTGCAGCATCAGCAGGTACCGCCGGGGAGCTGTCTGTGATTCCTTACTGAAGACCATGAAACCAGTGCTAACTGGATTCACACCACCATGCAAACACACTTGGCAAGTCAGGGCACCCCACAGCTGGTGAAGTGTAGGACTGAACTCCTGCAGTCTGCTGTGCCTATGATTTGGGGGAGCTCCATTTTAACGTAATCCCTTCTCCATATTGTGGGTTCTGACATAGAACTGGAATGTTAATCTCTGTGCTAATTGGCACATGTTGGGTAAACAGAGTCCCTTTCCCTTCTCTGGCTCATACTTTCAAGTTGCCCAGCTTAAAGGAGAGACAGGGGCTACAAGGCCCCATGAATGTACTTCCCTTACAGCCCCCAAGGCCAGTGGCAGTGATGAAGATAAGACAGATAGGACAGAAGCAGGAGACTTGGCATTAATTACACTGTCAGCTTGGCTCTTTCCATCCATGTACTATGTTTGTGCCTATTCTAAATGTAGGGACTCACAAGGGTTTTCATTTAAATGGGGGCTCTTGAAAATGTGTATTTTCTATTGTCCCTCATCTATAAATATTGAAAATACAATTTAACAGTTGGAACATATCTTTGACACTATCTATAGAAATGTTTACGTATTTTAGATAAAAAAATCATTCAATTCTTAGAATTTAGTTTCCTTAATATTTCTAAATTAATATGTCCTGTATAGAATCCTATATAGAGTTGTATTTTAATATATAAGAATCAAATGAATAATAAATATAAATTAATTAAAATATTAATATATAGTTACTTCTCTCCTAACTCTTAGTATACAATGGAAGCTAATTACATTTTTCTCAGAAAGTGCTTTGTAAACTAACACTTGTATGTGAAAGCTAAAGCTTAACTGTCACCTTTAAAAAGGAAAGCAACAGCTATTCAAAGGTCTGATCTATTTTTCAGTGAATAATATTTCCATCCTACTGAATGGGATGATGCTATATTTAGAACACTTTCTAATATATTTTTAAAATTCACTGTGTAGCATTATGCCTAAATTTCAAAATATCTTCATTGCAAGTGTTAGACACCATGTTTTCCAAGATTATGTAATTAATTTTGTAACTCTTTTATGATCCTAAGGAAAAATAACACCGTCTGGGCTGACATAATGGATCACTATGTGATCATGTAGTTTTGAGCCACACTAGTGGTTACTATAGTAGTTAGATCTTTGAAAATTAGCTGGCAGATTAACATGCATTTGACACTCAATAAATAATTTGGATGCAATTTACTTGGAATCAGGTCAGTATGACTATGGGTAGCCAATGGACCTCACAGACATACAGTACATTGTCTCATTCGTACTTTTCGAGGCCCTCACTATAATATGTGTAAGGCTGAAAATCTAATCAAATATGTTTTACAGTACATATGGTCTATAGCATACATACTACTTTTCTAAATGTGTGTACCAAGATGTTAGTTATATTTAAACATACTTAAACATTTATGTTTAAATCTACTTATGTCTGTGTCTCTCCTCTTGCCATACAAATCAGAACTGCTTCGGAATTTAAATAGTGAGATGAGTGGTCCAGAGCCAGTACATACACAATAAGCTTTAGAGGCCCCAAATTTGTTCCTGTTTCTAATGATCTCATCATAAGGATTAGCGCTGATTATCTTCAGCCTTTAGTATAATTGGCAGTCATTTCCTAACCACTAAGAAAATTGATTTACATACAAAAAACCGAGTAAAGAATAAAACTCAAAATTTCACAAATAGCCAGAGTGGAGAAAAATCACTTGTTTCTAGGGGAAAAAAAAATGCTGCTTTTAGCACAGAGGCTCCAGAACAACATAAACACATGTGGTAATTAACAGTGCGGAAAAAACAAACACTGTTATTATGCAATATCCCTGTTAAAGATATTGTATGATTACCAACCAGAGGGTTTTGAACAGATAGTATGGAAGTCTGTGAGTGTGACTAGAGTTGGGGTCACAAAGGCCCTCACACAGAATGGTCAGCATCATGTAGTGGGAATTTTCAGAACATTTCTTATCATTAAAGGCAGAATAGAAATGCCAATGCATGTGTTACAAGCTTGAACTTCTTTTACTCTCTTGTTTTCAATTCATACATCTGAACTAGCTGAAATATCTGAAGTTCCAAAGGGAAGTCTGAGATATCATAGTTGTTACTCATATCCTGTTAATAAATCACTATGGAGATACGAATCAAGCTACTGTAATTGCCTCGAATCCAAATAAGAGATTGAGTGGCCGTCTTCTGATGTATCAGAGTACTGCACACTGAGGCAGACCAATCATTATTCATCCCCAGTCTGATTAATGTGTCTCATTGCGACTTCTTCAGGAGACTTGAACTGCCAGGTTCCTGTTGCCAGTATCATGGGACACTATCTTCTCAGAATGACTTTAAGGGAGGACAATGGGAAGTGTGTGTGTCTGGTTTCTGGTGGTAGGTAGAAATTTAGATTGTTCTTTAATAAAAGATTGTTTGTGGCAGAAGCTCCCATCTCACGTACTAGTCAAACAAAGTAACAGCGATCCTAACACATGGACAGCTCTCTTAGATGTTTGCCCTGCAGAAGGACAGGCTGCTCCCGAACACTGCACTGAGGGAACCTAGGGAAGGAAATGGGCTTTGCTGACCATTCGTCCCCTTTGCTTCTTCTCCTTCGCTTTGATCTATTTCTGGTGTCTGTGACTTCATTGTAGAAGGTCGCAATCCCATGGATAAGGTCTTCCTGGATCCATGGAGTAGTCCTTCCTTATTCATAGATACCTCCATCATCCCTTTGTTGAAACAGTCTCCTACATCTTACCTTGAATATCATGTCTTAATAAAGAAGAATACACTTTTGGATGAAATGAATTGCAGTAGCAGTTAAATTCTGTTATGATTTAAAAGTCAATAGACGTCAGTATAGTGTATAAATTATAGGTAAACAGACTATGGCATTGGAATACTAGGTTTCCTCACATGTAATGACTATGGGGATGTAATATTTATGCATTTTAAAATACTTGATTGAAAATCAGACTGTGGCACCAAACTAAACAGTGACTATTAGCATTTGTAAAAATTGTATCAGATGAATATTACTTGACAAATCACTGTTACATTTAAGGAAAGATTGGAAATCCTGACTTCTCACCACTTTGTTCATAATGTAATTTTATTTAACAGACATTTTTAATGGACTGTGTTTTAATGTTTAAAACTAACCAGTTCCATTGGTCTGTCTGGATGCTTTTGTAAGTGTGGTTGGAATTCTATTTTTTTCTAGGCAGGATTTCTGTATTGTTTTGGAGCCTGTCCTGGAACTCTCTTGGTAGACTGGGCTGGTCTTGAACTCACAGAGATTCACCCGTCTCTGCCTCCCGAGTGCTGGGATTAAAGGCGTGCGCCACCACCGCCCGGTTTGTGGTTGGAATTCTTTACTGTAGATATCTTAGACAAAATAGTGAACCATCTGCAAAGTTAAGGTGCATTTGACATGTTTTTTTTTCTTTTGAAGCCATGTTTCTGTGGTTTTCATTTTGGTTATAAGCTATGATTTTCAAACTCCCAGTCAAATGTTTAAGTAGAGATAAAATGACTGAATATGATCAAACAATTAACAAAGAGATGGGGAGAGGTCTCAGTGATATCAGCGATCTATAATATTTATGGTGGTAGTACTTAGGAGTGTATAATATAAATCAGGTCACACGGTGCATTCACTATGACTTTTACATAGATTCATTTATGGCTGCATTAGAGGGCTTCTGGAAGTCTGAACATGCCAGCCTACTGTCGTCCCTCCACGTGTCACCTCTTCCTGTATGCAGTCATTAGGGGTTGCTACCTTTCCTAATAGCACCTGATTGTTGTGAGAAATCAAAATATATTTAACCCCTGCTTCCATAAAGCTCCTGGTCCAGGAGGAAGGATAGATATCTAGAGAAAAGAAAAGAACTAAAAGAAAAAAATCACAAATTGTATAAAGGATTCAGAAGGAGACAAATGGCTGCTGTGACTTAAAATGGAGTGGAGAACACTCCATATCTGGGATTGTCTGGAAAAGTCTGGCCTTGAGTCTAGGGGTCAATAAGATCCAGGAGCTGTAGCAATCAGCGAAGCAAAGAATTCAGAACATAAGGTGTGTTCTAGACAAGATTGAGAGGAACGTGAAGACTGCTGTAGCGGGAGGAGGCGATGGAGATGGTGAGGCAGGGGCCGAGCTGAGGTTGGAGGGAGAAGAGGAGTTTCAAAAGGGCTATCTCAAAGGAGAGTCCATCATTTTGTTCGCTTGTTTTGCTCTTCTCTTTCCTTTCTTTCTCTTTTTTAATTGGACTGACACAAGGCCTGACACACCTAGGATCCTTTATGTTATGTTCCAGCATTTGTTCTTAAATTTAAAAAAAAAGGTAAGATTACGTTTTGCCTTAGTGAAGAGCAATGTTCTCTTGTGTATCTGGTCTTTGCATTTGGTCTTCTAATCACCACAACTTTGTGAACTGCAGGCAGCCCTTCTGTAGCCCCTAATAGTGAAAGGTGGCTTAGGAGCCCATTACCTCAATCCTATGAGAAATTTCATCTTAAAATAGTATGGTGCCCTCTAGTGATGATTGCTATAATAGCTTTCGATTACTGGCGAAACATTTGAAACTGAACTTGAGCCTTCTGATGACTGGTCACTGTAACCTTGGTGGTATGCCAGGCTTCATGATGTCTCTGTCACTTTGTTATGACAGCATGTTCAGCGTTTCTTCCCGTAACACCGATGTGCTTGTGTTGACAGGTGTACATTCCAAGCCGCGTGGCTCTCATCCTTCAGAACGTGGATCTGCCAAACTGAGGAAACCTGAACTCAGCCCACCTCACACAAACGGGTCGGCTGGCTGATTTCTGCTACCACAGTGTCGATAATGAGTAAGCTTTGCAAAAACATGGCTGTCTAGCCAAAACATCAGGCTGAAATTCAACTTTGGAATATGCAAATACATATAACTTGTTTGTGAAGTAGATAGGAAGGATGTGTTTAAAATACTAGCAATGTGTATCTTGAAGCCTTCCAAGAAATTAGGATTTGCAAATGAAGTATAATGTATAATAATTTTTAAATGTTACTTTACTGGCAAAGTATTTGATCCTTTCATTTCACATTTGAATTATTCATCATGCATGACTATTTTTGTTGTAATAAGACAGTATTTTGCAACATGGATATTTGGTGGCCTTACTTGTTCCAATGTCTATTGGTATGAATTATGAGGTACTGAGTTTGTTTTTCTTTTTTTTCCTAATTGTGTTTAGAAATACTGTATTAAATATATAGTAGTGACCCTAAAATGCAGATATTATAAAAGATAATATTAAATTCTTCTCTGTGCCCTCATTTTGCATTAAGTTTTATCTTGTAATCTCCTGTCAATATAATGTTTTAGTAAATGTCTATACTCAGTCTTTCTGAAGACTTGAAATGGTAATTGTAGCATTTCAGAAAATGTCTTTCATTTCAATCAATAAAAAAATGCTAAGCTGCATTGGCAAATGTTCATTTTATTGCAGTATCATAAGGAATGATTTGTAATTAATATTAGTGTGCATTAACTCTCATACCTTCTCTACATAGATTCACATGTTCATAATGGACCAGGCAGCTAGTATGTTTTCTTTCTTTGGGAAACATTTTGTAACTTTCATGTTAACCAGCATCCTGGGGAGATGGCCCCGTGGCTTGAGGCACCTGTAAAAGCAAGGTGTTCAGAGGTTGGAGAGATGGCTCAGTGCTTAAGAACAAAGGCTGCTGCTGCTGACAACCTGAGTGTAGTTCCCAGAGCCCACATCAGGGAGCTCACAACAGCCTGTGTCTCCAGCCACGGGCTTTCCGGTATCATTTTCTGCCCTCCAAGAGTAACCAAACTCACATTCCCATACCCACATGTAAGCATGTATGCAAAATTAAAACTAAAAATAAAATCTTTAACCAAAGACTATGTGAGTTCAAATTCCTCACTCTCACATTAACATGGGAGTCACTGGATACACCTGTAATGGAAACTTTGGGGAGAGACAACAGACAAATAAAATAATGGGCTTCATTAAATGAAAGACCTGATCTCAAAAAATAAAGTGAAGGGAGATAGAGGAGGGCTCCTAGCCTCCTCTTCTGGCTTCTGTGTGCATGATAATGGACACGCTGTCATGCACACTAACATACCCTACACAAGTGTGCATAATCAACACATACGTACACTTTCTAACTATCAAGAGAAAACCGTATTAATCAAATCAGATATCTAAACTACTCTTCATTCTTACGTGAGAACTTTTAGTGACCACATTGACTCTTGCAGTGCAATAGGATACTCCATAAATCTGCTTTTTGGGTGTCAGCTGACTCATTGGTATGCAGTTTATGCATAACAGAAATGATGGCGCATTCATGAGAAATGTGTGAAGGCATGGGTGTAAAGATTTCACTAGACCCAAGATAAATGATAAATGGGTGTTTATTGGGAAACACTTACCCAGAAAAATACAAGCAACCACGGGAGTGTTTGTCTGTCCTGCCTACAGGATCCACTGACCCAAGAGAAAGAGCAAGCAAACAGAAACCAAGCCTCAGACTTCCTTCTGACTGAAGCCACACCCAAGGTTCACAGACAAGAGGCCCACAAATGTGTTGTCACTTTTTTCTTTATTTTAATACTGATTCTTGTTTTTTATTTCCTTTTAGCTTGATGGCTCACAATTAGTAAGAAGTGTTTAGAAATGGAGGGAGGGTAGTGAATGTGACCAAAATATGCTGGGCATGAGTGGAATCCACAAAAATTATGCTTTAGAATTTTTAAGCATAGTAATGAATGAGTAGTGGATTTACTTTTGCACCTAAATGTATATGCTAGCCATCAGTTTTGAGTAGTAAACCTTGAGTAAAGCCTTGGAGATCTATGTCTAAGCATGTTACTTCTCTTCACTTTTAAGTGCCGTGGTAGAGTAGTTTGGTTTCCTACATCTCAGCATAGGCAGCTGCTAGTGGTACACAGGGAAGCTGGACTGAAGCCATCGTGGGATTTTCCCCACTATGCAAAGGTGTTAGTGTCAGTGTTACAGCTCTGAGGGGGCAGGTATCCTGGCAGTCAGGAGCCAAGGAAGAGCACCAAGTCACACCGCACAATGCACCTCACACAACAGATTTATTGGGAGAGAAGATGCCGGAGGATGGCTGCCTCTGCTAGGGCGTGAAGTATCGGAGACCTGAGCAGAAGGCAGAGTTTATATGGTGTTTCTTGGGATGGGGAGAGGAGAGTTCCAGAGTGGGGAATGCTGGGATTTCAAGTCCAGACTTTAGAGCAAGCTCAGCGATCGGTGAGATTTCAGATTCTGAGCTTGGGCTTTTTCCTCTATAAAGGTGAGTAGGGCCTGGAGTCTTCGAGCAGTAAGAGTATTCCGTGAGTGGATCTAGTGGTTGGAGGTTCTCAGGAGGAGCCTCGCCATCTGCACTCTTTGAGGATCTTATATTTAGTATCTCCATGTTGCCATGGTTTGTATTCTAAACTTGTTAGTGATAATAGCATGATGTGAACTATGACATTCCCTGTACTAGTATAAAATTCTTACTATTAGGTTTGTGTATAAGGAGAGATGATTGGTTCACATCAGGAATTGTGTATGTGTGTGTGTGTCTGTGTGCGCACGCATGCACGCAGGTGCACATGTGACAGTGTGGATGGACATGTATGTGTTTGTGTGAAGGCTAGAATACAACCTCAAGTATGCTCCATCAGATGATATTTATTATGATAGTATCTGTCATATCTTAGTCTGTCACCAAGTAGGCTATACTGGCTGGCCAGTAAGCCCTAAGGGTTTATGTGTCTGTGCCTTCTCAAAGCACAGGAAATCGTGCCCATGCATTCTAGGTACCAAACTCAGGTCCTCCTGCTTACAAAGCTAGCATATTACCATCCGAGTCATATCCTTAGACCTTGAGTTTGGGGGTGGACATTGTTTATTTTTAACACAAGACATTGCTTACTGGCTAAAACCCTTGTTCTTTCACCATGCACTCCTGGAAAACTTTAAATGTCCAGACTAATGGAACTACAGTTTCTGTATGTTCAATATAGTTCACAGTGTGGAGTTAGATTTCATTAATCTAAGTTATTTGTATCTCTCCCTCAATACCCATTTCCTCAACATACCGAGAACAGCTGTAAATGTATATTGCTACATAATGAGGGAAGTCTTTCTGCATATATGTTTGTCTGATTGGTTGATAAATAAAGCACTGTTAGCCCAAGGGAAGCAAGATAGTTGGAACTAGGAGTCAAGGAGGATTCTGGGAAATATAGTCAAGAGTAGAGAGTTGGCATGAGATCCCAGGAAGAGAGGACGCATGAGGCTGTTCCTTGATAAGATAAAACCTTATAAAATATATATATTAGTAATTATGGGTTAATATTTAAGTCAGAGATAGTCATTAAGAAACCGTAGCTAACGGCCAACACCTTTATAATTAATATAGCATCCTGCATGGTCATTTGGGACTGATGCGGCTCTGGGACCACACTGACAGGAAGAATGCACGGTACAACTGGGTGACAATTATTTTTAAAAATTAGACAAAATATTAAGCATTCAAACTAAATTTAATTTCCTTTTCTCTGTCTTGATACAGCTAGTTTTAGAGAATCTGGTAACAGTCTAGTATATTTCATTGTATGTCCTTTATGTGGGTCACTGGCATTCCTGTCATCCTTTTTAATGGCTAAATGTTTCCAGTATCACAACAGACAGGTAGAAAATTTCACATATTGTGCTTTGCAAAAGCTCTTTCTATAGCTCTTAATTTTTTGCATCCTAGAAAATAGAGATAACTTCATATTTACTTGCATCCTCCCCTAATTTTAGCAAATGACCACTAGAAATTGCTCTGTTATCCAAAGGAGAATTTATTCCTGATGCTAAGAATACTTGTTATTAGTTTGATATTATCTTACTGAGGGAAAGCCATGGTTTTAATAGCTAAAAATGAAACTGTAAACATGTTTTTCTTACAGTGTGTCCCACTTTATACTACCTGAACACTGAGGGCCAGTCCCTCTCATGTTTTCTTCTCTACAAATTTGATGTCTCTTACCCTGCCTTCTTCCTAGCCTAAGTGTTCATTTCTAACATAGGATGAGGGGTTTAGTCAACACCTTCCTCTGGTTCCAAAAGGAACCAGTGACAACAAATTGACTTTTTTCATGGCAGCTGTAATAGAATGCAAACCTTTCTCCCCTCTGACTCAAGCCCTTCCTTTGTAGTATCAATTCAACATGTGTCACCTATTAGGGCATTGTAGCCATTTCTATGCGGATCATACAGGAGGTGGTCTGAATAAGGAGCCTATTCTTCACCTAATACGCAGATGCAAGCAAGTACAGACAGGTCAAGGAAGAAGTGGTGAAGCATAATCAGCTTTCCTTTCCTTCACCTCTCAGCTTCAGAGCAGATATCGTTCCACTGTTTCTGGTCCTCCAGCCATGGAATCTGGCCGTCAAAGCAAGGAGAAATAGCTTTGCTAGTGCTCTTCCTGGAACCAGAGCAGATAAACTGATAGAAAGCAGAACAGCGGCAACGCAGCCTCGCACATCATTTCTTTTTCGCCTGTTTTGAGTCGTGCCCTAAACTTGAGTTCTTTAGACTGCCAAGCTCCATTTATCTATTCCTTATAAGGGGACAGGCACTGAGCTATGAACTTTGTGAGACAGAGTATTCTGATGAAAGAAAATAGAAATCTAAGGCACAGCAATGTCATGTCCTTTATTCAGTAGACTTCATTTATCATTCACTGTGCATTAGAATTGAAATGTAGATAAATTTTCTCACTAAAGCCAGGCTTCGGGGAGGAAAAAAATCAAATGAACTCCCTACTAATTTTTCTGCTCTATTATCTTATTAATGATGATTTGTAGAGAATTGCAGAGAAACATTCACACTTTAGGGCAAAATCTCTTAATTGGTAGTATAGGAATTAAGATATAGTACCTTTACGGGGTCTTTTTTTCCTCTATAATTTAAAACTCTTAACTAGGCACAAACTATGGAATGCAGAAAGTGTTCAGTGTGTATGAAAGAGACACTTTAAGACACACACTCTCGTGTTAAAGTGTATGGCATTCTGGAAGTTCATTTATAATGTAGTGTTTCTTGTCATTTCTGATGGACCAGAGAGAAGGCTAGCCTTCATGTACAGTTTCTTACACCAAGAGATAAACACTACACTGTGTTTTACTAAAACAATGTGACACTATGATCAGAAGACCTGAATTCAAGTTACAACCATTAATTTCAGATTCCTCATATAATGAACTACTTGTATGCCCAGAGATTTACAACAAAAGCCCTGGTCCCGCAGCCCTGACAGGGTAGGATCAGTGATTTGTCCTGACATGCCAACTAAACAAATGGCAAATGCTGTTGATAAGCACAGAGAAGAGAAAGTAATCAATTTGAACACTCTTTGATGAATGGATGGAGGTTTCCAGTGACC